TTCTCCCGATCTCAAGCAGATTCAATACCACCTCAAGCGCTCCGGGTCCGTCCAATGATCAGCTAGTGAAAAGGAAACTTCTATGTCGTTCATCGTGGCTGGTTTCAGCTTCAATGATTCATCCACAAAGTGCCATTTGCGATTTCTACATTAGTCTGACGTGTGTGTGTGTGTGTGTGTGTGTGTGTGCGCGTGTGCGCGTGTGCATATACAAAGTTCACCGGACCTTGTAGAGCTGCTCGTAACGTCGGCGGCTGTTTCCTGCTTTGCAGTGTTACTAGTTCGTTATCAGCTCCCGGCTTACAGGTGAGTCACGCACACAACGAACAATGACACCGTACATCAAGCGGTTGCCTGGCAACCAGCATAGTTCTGACAAAGAGAACGAGAAGACACCCAAAGACGGATGGGTGGGGCGAATCATTTTACCAGACCTTCTTTCAGAAACGTCGCGGGGCGTCCAAGGTTACATGAAAGTGCAAAGTGAAAACTTTACCAGTCGGTTCCTGGCTTCAACGTATCAGAGGTAGTTTGAAAGGGGAGAAGAGGGATGCAGAGCGAATGTACATCCTTTCAAATTGCCATAACACTGGAAACAGTGTTTTCAGTTCATTAAAGTTATGTGTCACCCTTCTAGTTGCCTAAACAATGAAGGGTGGGTGAAGTCACTGGTGACTATGTCTACTCCCCCCCAGCCGGAAAATTACCTCCGCCCTCCCTGAAAAAGTGTAGAATGAAAAAACATGTCTTTGTTAGTTTCCCCGCGCACGGCAGTCCCACACGTGCGCAAATATGTCTGTGTGGCACTCACAGTGGCAGAGCATCAGCAGCTGACTGACAACCCACCCCGCACTCGGCAAACCCCCCCCCCCAAAAAAACATAGGGGAAACACTTATATAGAGTGTACTGTATGAATCAATGGGCATTGACCTGAATCACCAACTCAAACAAATGCTTTGAGTGCTCGTCCATCGTCCCAACGCGTGAACCGTCCCCCTAACCAGGTATCCGCTATAAGTCAGTATCTACCCATTTCACACAAGAGGGGCCAAACCAAAGGCCGTTGTCCTGCCGACCACAACAGCTGCCACGGCAGCACGATGGGGGGTCCATTTTATAGGTACAAGTCAGTCTTCTGTAAAGGGCAACAAGACCATTTTGCCCCTCGTGCTCTGCGGTGTAAACTCGTGCATCGGACAGTGTGTGTCAGACGCAGACTGCACTCACAATGCCTTTCACTGACCTGCCGTCAATAGAAAGAATAATGCAATAATGTCATTGGAGATTCAATGTCATTAAAAGTTTACATTTTATTCAGCAGATTTTTTTTTACTGCCAAATTGATTCAGAAAAGTTCAGACTTGTGTTGCCTCTGTACGCGTGAGTGTGTTTTTGGGGTATCATCGATTAGCCACAGCACTTCTACCACTTCATCACCATAATCCTCGAATACCTCTCCACCGGCGGGTACAATCTATATTAGGTTGCTAAGCAGAGTGCTGCCAGGCCGACCGACACACGGATTAAGATTATGTCCTTTTTATGGAGCCCAAAAAGCTGTAAATCTCCGTGTTACACAGTAGAAAGAGGGTGAGACGGGAGGAGAGATCACACTTGCTTCAAAAAAGAAACTTCACAACAGCGATGGAGCACACATGGGTGGGTACAAAGTACGCGTTACTAGGAATGATAACATTGCAGTTGATGGATACGGTCAAAGCACTTTGTGACTAATGTGGGTGGTATGTTATGCCATTCTGCTGGGGCCTCAGTCATAAGGGCCACATGTATTCATTCATTCATTTAGCATACGCTAGTAATGCATTTCATAAATCAGTGGTTGCCGGCAACATTTTCCCAGAGAAACTATTACAATTCTACAAGTATGTGGTTATTTTCAATTCGGCATAAGAAAAGAAAAAGACGATGAGCACTTTAGTCATAATTAACCATATGACTAATTAGAAGGACGGGAAAACATTCAGAAAGTTGACGCTTTCCTTACAAAAAGTTGCTGCAAAGTCAACCATACGTCCGCCGAATAGAGCCTCGGATTCCAGGTAATGTTCAAAAACCCGGGATTCATTCTACCAAACGTGCCAAATAGGAGAAAAAACGAGGAGGTCGAAAAAAACGCCAGGTTTTGAAGGGGGTTTTGTCGCGGTGTCACTCACCCGAATTCTTCTCATCGCAGCCACGATCTCCACTCGGCTGCTCGGCCGCGTCACATCCAGACTCCCGATGTACTGCAGCCACATGACAGGTACAACAATATTAAGCAAACAATAGACGACCATTCTCGCTATGCATTCACTGAAAGAGCGCACGTGTTCGCCTGGGGTTATTTTTATGACTTAAAAAACGGACTCAAACTAAGTATCTGAGCATTGGGTCTCAGTGCGATACGAGTCGGCCAAAGTTGAAAACACGTCTCACGGAGTAGTGACGTTAAGTGTTACAGTGAGACGTTAACCTGTATGTGGATTCACCTTCGCCTCGAAGTTGATCCCATGCTGGAACGCTTCCTCGTTGTGCAGCGGGATCCGCAAATCGTGCCCATCGTCAACGAGGTTGTACTTGCTTTTAGCAGGCATTTTTAAAAAGAAGAATTCGCCTCTCCGCACTTCCAAGAAAGAAAAAAAAAAAGATAATCTCCACGGAGAACCAGCTGTTTTAATCCGAGAAAAAAAAAACAAGAAAAAGAAACAATTCCCCAAATTCCGGCTAGTGCACGTTCTCCATCGCGCCGCACCGTCCCGGCAACGC